GACAGTGGTTCTCCCACACCTGGAGGCTAATGAAACCAGGATGCCTTTTTCAATATCTATTTTATTATTTTCTTTCCCACATCATGAAGTTCTATTTTGTTTTTTGAGCTCATACAGACCTAGGTTAATGTTTTGCTGATCAGTTTTATTTTTTGACTATGGAGTTTTTAAACATTGCAATGGAGATTTCACCTGTAAAAAGTTACAAGGCCTTTACTATTATGTTATGTGTTGTATGTATTATGTGTGCACACTTGTGTTTTGTGTTGTATGTTTGTATGTGCGTATGTCCATATATCATATATGACAAGCGCTCATAAAAAAATGGATCCAAATAATTTTTTCTTATTCACGTGATTTAAATGGTTTAATTTAAATTGGGTAAACAGCTGTTGAGGATTGTTTTAATATGTGAACAAAAAAGGAGGTTAACAGATCTGTTTGTTTACTTTCACCTTTCCTTTTCATTATATTTAATAATTCTGTTCAGGATAATGTAAATTGTTCAGAAAATTGTTTTCTTTTAGTGCCTGATGTTACATAATTTTTTCTTTAGCCATTATTGCCAGAATTCCTATCTTCATCCCAGTGCCGGTGAAGACTAAGATAAAACCAAACTACAGTTTCTGCAATAGCTATCACTGAACTGCTTGCAGAACTTGCCTCGACTATGTATCACTTGTATGCATTGTGAACTATCTGTTGGTGCAGCGACTTGTGGTAGTGCCGGGTATTTTTGCTGATGGTGTCATCGGTGGTACAATTTTTCCAAAAGGAGCAGTCAATTGGCTTGGTGTATCCTCCTCCCTTCTGCTTGTGATGGTCGTTCAGCTAAAATTTGGGGGCCAACAGAGGTGAGGCAAAGAACCTCACCCCCCCACTGGTACAAAGGCCTATCCACAGGTATGGCTATATGCTGGTCCGGTAGTAATGACAGGTAAGATCCAATTGCAATGGTACCAACCTAAGACAGGAGGCTGACGCCTTGAGGTCAGCTCATCCGATGATGGGTAAGGACCATATGTAGTATTGGACAACCTAAGGCAGGCATGGTCCCTAAGCCACATGCTTGTTGTTTAATTAAACAGAGAGGGGGAGATGTTGAGAGCCACAGCCAAAGCGGCCCCAGCAAACTTCCAGCTGATTGGTTCACAGCCGCCTCAGCAAGCTTCCAGCTGATGGGCTCACTACGGCCTAAGCAAACTTCTAGCTGATTGGTTCTCTGAGGTGATGCTCATTGGGCTGTATCCCCGCCCTTTCAGACCACAGAGCTGCTCATTGGGGGACTCTTTTGGCTCCACCCACGCAATCCAGCCAATCGGCCTCAAGAGCAGGAGGAGTGGGGGTTGAGAGGCTTGCCAGAGGAGCCGGTGGTGGCAGTTGTCTCTGAGGGAATTCCTGAAGAGCTCGGGAGGTGCGGCGTAAAATAAAGTTCGTCCTGCTTGATAAGTGGCTTATGAATTGTGCCCAGCTAGACTGCGGCAACAGGAATTTAAGTATGAAGTAACACAATCAGAACTGCATTCTGAAAGACCATTGGCTAGGAAAAACTAGAAGTAATTATAACAGTCTAGGCAAGAGACAGGATATGGGCCTGAACCAGGGCAGTAGCAATGAGGTAAAAGGATTGGAGGTGGATTTGAAAGATGACCTGGTCTATCCAGTTCTAATAATGAAGCCCAAAACTGCAAGCGCTAATCTGGCAGCCACACTACCAGTTTTGTGGGTTCATACTGCTTTTCTCCTCAAACTATTAGATCTAATTAATTTTAAAATACCTAAATAACTTACTTCTTATAACTTTACTTTTGCAGGCAGTGTGGTACAATGATTAAAAATTATTATATACACAACTCTGGAGCCACTGAAAGCCTAAATTCAAACGCTGATTTTATTAACTTACTAGCTATATGACCTTGGATAAGTCACTTGATTTCTCTATGCTTTGATACCTATCTTATAGGATTATGTAAGCATATAAATTAAATATTATGTAAGTGTAATAAATTAGTTATATGGTATGTGTATGTATATTTGTGTATTTATGTGTGTGTGTGTGTGTGTGTGTGTGTGTATATATATATATATATATATATATATATATATATAGAGAGAGAGAGAGAGAGAGAGAGAGAGAGAGAGAGAGAGCTCTTAAACCAGTACCTGATCCACATTAAGTACCGTATAAGATTTTAATTATTGTTAAAAATTATTGTTTATTTTGTTTTTACATTTCAACTTCTTGGTTTCAATCCATTATCAAAACATTTTCTATTGTCTAATTTATAAACATTCTTATTTATAAATCTAATAGGCATGTCTTATCTTCATCTAAGTTGACATTCAAATTTTTTTTAAAAACTATTACCAAGAATAGTCCTCTAGAATGTCACTAAAAATGCTTCTCTAGATAAACAACTATCCATGAATTGGTACTACAACACCTGCATGTCAATTGTTCAATCAGCTCCAAAGCCAGGTCCACATTTTATGTTGGGATCATACGTGAAACCATTAAACACCTGATTTTAGCATTTAAGCTTTATAGCATATTCCTGATCCTGCAGGCTAGGAAACATTTCAAAAACGAAATGCCCTGAGCTTGCTCTCTATACATATCTCAAAATATATAATATGGTAATCATCTCTAGATAGTGTGATTTTTGTTGTTTTGGCTTACATCTGCTATTTTTCTATAATAAAATTGTACTACTTTATAGTTTAAATAAAACCATGTCAAACCTTAAAGGAAAAAAAAAAGGAATTGTTGTTAGTTAGCATGACTTAGTATAACAAAAGCTGCCTTTTGGGATCACTGTGTTCTCACCTTTTGCTCAATTTTAAAATTTTACCAGGAATCACTGGCAAGTTTCCAATGACACTCTCAAGCCCCCATGATCTACAGTTAACTCCAAATAAATCAAACATCATTATAGGGAGAATCAAAATTTGACTGTCTTCAAAATACGTCTAAAATTCCTTACTTTCTGGATAATCACCACTACCACCCCCTAGTCCAGACTACTGATTACTGCAAAAGTTTCCTAACTGGTCTCCCTTCTACAAGGGTAGACCTTGTAGAAGGTCTTTCTACAAGGGTGACCTTTCCTCACCCTCCATAGTCTATTTTTCTACCACAGAATAAATGTAAAAGCACATCAGATGACATCACTCCTCTGCTCTACATTCTCCAGTAGGTCCCACTTCACTCAGAATAAAATGCACCCCAAAGGTGTCTCCCTGACTGTCAGGCTGTTCATGATCTAGGCCTTGTTACTTCTTTTCCTTATCTCCTACTGCTCTTCCTGTTCTTCTCCAGTCACACTGGCTTCCCTGTGAGTCTTTAAGACATAGTAAGTCAACCCACACCTTAGAAATTTTATACCTGTCAGTCCCTTTGCCTAGGATGCTTTCCTCCCAGATATTTTCCTTGCTGGACTTCTCACTTCTTTCAGATCTTAACTTAAAATTTCATCATCAGACACCTTCCTTGGTACCTTATAAAAAGCAGCAACCCCTCCAAGATCCCCATCACTATCACTTCACCCTTTTTTCTTTCTAACACATTATCAGTTGGTGGATGTCATTTATTTACCTCTTTATTTATATTTGGCTAGTCATTTATTTATCTGTTTCTATCCATTAGAGTATAATGGCAAGGACTTTTTCTATTTGCTTATTGTCGTATAATAGGTTCCAAGAATTGTGTTAGGCCTGTAGTAAGTGGTCAATTTCTATAATCAGAACATAAGTCTCAGTATAGAAAAAATTCTATGAATAAATTAGTATGTATAAGTTTTGTTGATAAAAATGATTCTTTTTCCCCCAAATTTCACCAAATATATATATTAGAAAGCATTGGTGCTCCAAAAAGAAAGATAAAGACTTGCTTCCATTCACTCAACCAGAAATTAATTTCATAACCTGAAGTAGGAAGAATGTTTCAGGGAAAAGAACAGAACAAAAATCCTGAACTACTTAGAAGGGCAAGAGTTTGCCTTTAAGTTTCCTACTCCCACAATAAATTGTGCCTATTTCCTGCAAGGAGTTGGTTGACATGAAAATGAGAGGTCTTGTTGAGATTTCTTTCTTATGTCCATTCACTCCTGTGACTAGTACCCATGTCCCAGACTTAGTATATGTGTTTCCCTATTGCTTTATGTCCCCAGAGAACTCTTCTCTATCATCTAGCTACCAGTGGCAACCAAGACCACTATTGCTCGGCTACTCACTGCTCAAAGGTCTCACTTCACTCACTCCTATTTCACTGGTGTTCTCCACTGCTCTCATGGACACCAGCCAATAAAGTACTGGCACATGAAATCCTGAAAGGGATAGAAAAAGAAACTAGTTGTTGATCAAAAGTTTCTTTAATCTGTTAATTTTGCAAGGCTTTTTAAAGGTTATGTCCATTACTATCTCAATAAGAAAAGTAACTTACTTATTGAGAAACATTAGAGAATTGGGAATTTGGCTCAATGGTAGAGTACTTGCCTTGCATGCCTGAGGCCTCTGGGTTTAATCCCTAGTACCACAAAAACAAAAGAAAAACATTAATGAAAATAGTAGGGATATGAAACCTAGTCCTATCATTTACTACCTGTGTGAACTTGGAGAAATTATTTATTCTCTCTAAGCTCATTTCCTTGTGGTAATGATAAAAGCACTAACCTTAACCTTACAAGGCTGGAGTTATTATTAAGGGAGATGATATATGTCAAATGGGGCAGTGCCTGGCATTCAGTAAATATTCAGTAAGTGGCAGTTTAGGACTGCTTCTTAAGATTGTCAACTTCCACAAGATTTTTATCCTCGTCAGATTGGTCTATTGATTAAAGAAGAAAATAAGTGAAGTACTTAGCCTAGTGTTTGTTTCACAACAGGTCATTAACAAATATTGATTTTCCTCCCTTCCCCTTATGATAGTAAAAAATTATAGAGGACTCAGAAGTCACCCAATTCTACTGGTGTACCCAGACTTCACTGTACAACAAACTTACCATTTAGGCAATTTAAGCTTTCTGTCATACTTCTGGCTCTCCCCCAATGTTTGTTGTCTTGGACACAGTCACTATCTTTCAATGGTAATTGCTCTTGTCCTGGATAGAATATAAAAAGAAAGGAAGAGATATAGGTAAAGCATGAATCACATCAAGGCTGAGCTGATCCAAAGGCCTTCACATGTAGGACAATGTCAGAAAAGACAAGAGCTGAGTCTACATCCTGATCATGAAGGAAGTTGGCTATGTCTCTCAAGAGACAAAAAGGAGTTTGGCCCCAGAACACTTCCCCTTTCCTATCAGATGATATGATCCGAGGGCCAAATTGTCTTTCTTTAAATTAACAGGCCTATATATACGTCAGTAGTTGAAATATTTATATGACATCTTATAGCTGGGAAGCATCTCAGAAATCAATAGTTAAATGTCCTTATTGTAAGGAAAAAAAGTGAAGCTTGGAAAGGGTGAGTCACATAATTATTTAGGGGTAAAGCTAGGATTTTACTAAAAATTAGATGTTCTGGAAGATGGGTTAGAAAAGATAAACATCTGTAGAGTATCCACTATATCCTAGATACTATGTTTTATATAAGTCAATAATATGATGTTATCCCTACCATATGCATAAAGAATCTAAATTTCAAGAAGTCAAGTGACTTGTCCAAGGTCTTATAGCTTGCCTAGTAAATGGCAGTCAGGATTTTAAATCCTGATTTTAAACCCATGTCTGTCTGACTACAAAAGCCCCTTCACCATGCTTACTCTCATTTTGCTGCCTCTTTTCTCAGTCCTCAAAAGAGCCCTGAACCACCAGATATCAATTAGAACTAAAAATAGAGCTTCTATGTCTACAACCTTACCCTCCAGTTTTATAACAAGCAGCCACCTACAGGAGAGCTGAATTAAATTAAGAGAAGTGTTACTAGAGATAGGAGATCTGGGTCAAATCTTCCTGTCTATGGTGATCCTGAGAAAGAATGGAAAGGTTGCTTCTCAGTTAGTGGTAATCTAAAAGCTTCACATTCAAATATCCCCTTCCTTTCATCATGATTGCCTATCCCTCCCTTACACATACCTACAGACTACCGTGATTTCTACACCTTCAAAACACACACGCACCCCAGACTCCATCCCTGCCTCTTTTCTCCTAAAGAGCAAAGGGAGGACTGGGGCTGTAGCTCAGTGGTAGATCGTTTGCCCAGCATATGAAGCACTGGGTTTGGTCCTCAGCATCACATAATAAATAAAGGTATTGTATCCATCAACTGAAAAAAAAATTTAAAAGAGCTGAAAAGATAGAATTTATTTATTTATTTATTTATTTATTTATTTGGGTACTGGGGACTGAACCCAAAGTGTTTTATCATTGAGCAACATCTCCAGCCCTTTTTATTTATTTATTTTTGGAAGCAGAGACTTGCTAAATTGCTTAGGGCCTCGCTAAATTGCTAAGACTGGTCTTGACCTTACAATCCTTCTGCCTCAGCCTCCCAAATTGCTGAGATTACATATGTACAAAACCACACCAGACAAAATGATAGAATTAACATGGAGAAATGTTTTATTTTGTTTTCAAATGGTTTAAAAGATGAGAGCAAAAGGAGCCCTCAAGCCAATTAGCCTGAAGCCATAATAATTATTGATACACAATAAAAACAGCTATAAAAATATATGTGGAAGGCAGCACCCAAAAGATGGCTTGGGTGGGTGTGCGGAAACCTTCAGCTTCCTGTGCCCCCCTTTAAAAACATTAGTCAAAGTTAAGTGTGATTGCCATTCAAACAGCATCAGGATAAACCTCACAGGCCTTCTGTCCTGCCCCTATCACCATCCATCTCTACCCCATCCCCACACATACACACACACACACACACACACACACACACACACACACACACACCCCCACACCCCTCTCCAAAAATGTAAACAAAATATACAGAGCGACATGGTGCCATAAACCTGGCCCCAGAACACTAATACTCCCATGCCTTAGGCATATAGTACATGAAGTAAATTTTGTGCATTCTTTTTCCTTAAAAA